GGGGGGGGGGGGTCAGGTTTTGCAAATCCTATGTTACTTTAGCAGGTCAAACATCTCCAGTGGAGTTTCCTACGACATGTCCAAACGTAATACTAATTTTACACTATGCAACAATTTCGTTTATTTCGCCTTTCGTTCGTCATCAGTGCAGCTCTCACAGCCGTTGTGAACACATCTCTAACTCCCTCTTTTGTTTTAGCAGAACATTCCAGGTAAGTATAGGCCTTGATTCTTTCACACATTAAAGATCCATCTCCGCTTTTAACAAGCTCTTGTTTCATCTTTGATAACTCTGTCTTTGTGTTTTCGTCATTTCTTAGATCTTTCTTGTTACCAACCAAAATGATTGGTATATCTGGGCAGAAATGCCTGACTTCGGGAGCCCATTTTTTAAGGACGTTAGCTAAACTGTCAGGACTATCAATGGAGAAGCACATCAGAATAACATCAGTGAACTGATAGGACACAGGTCGTAGCCTGTCATATTGTTCATCTCCTATAGTATCCCAGAATGCTAGCTCTACTGTCTTGTCATCAACTTTGATAGCACCAACATAACCCCCATCAAAGACTCTTGGCACATACTCCACAGGGAATCGATCTGTGACGAACATGTAGTAAAGGCAGGTTTTTCCACAGGAACTATCACCTACAATGACCATCTTTTTCCTAATGGGTCCATTGGCTGCCATGTTGAATCCTTCTTCTCTGAAACAAGGTAAAGCGTTCTATATGATATGATATGCCCTAGAGTTTGGATAAAAACATATGATGTTTGATTTTCATATCTGCGCGCATGAATGCAGGGACCCTCGCATCAAATGAGGGAACGACGACTCGTACGTAAAACAGACATTTTGAGTTGTAAATACGCGGTCAGCTGCGAGTGGAACCGAAAAACAGTACAACTTCTGGCAAGCCGGAAGACTTCGGAAATTTTCGGGTCAATCGATTGGGTGCCGAGAATAATGAAGAACACCTAAAGCTTTAATTCAGAAGATTTCTCGGTTCCAGACCTCGCACAGACTAACCCGTTATTTAAAATTCAAAATGGCCGACACAAAACAGCATCAAAATCGAAAATGACGCAGTCTGCGACGAGTCACGTATGAGACAGTGCATTTTATCTAGTTTTTGAAAGAATCATATTTAATATAAAAAAAAACTCTGAAATTTATGGAATTAATGAACAGTGATTTTCGCCAGGGGAGTCTTACTCCATTCACTAAGCGTCACGCGATCTAAGCCGTTTTCAACAAATCGCGTGGTTTGAATCAACAAGACTGATTTGCAATGTACGGTGAATTTCGCTGGGGAAATGGTTAAACAAGGCTCCCCTGCCCCCTGAGGCGTTAATAATCTGTCTACGGTAAACGTACACCAGGACTCAAGTTGAAATTCTCCGCCGGGTCTCCGACATTTCGCAGCCCTTGCTTGTGTCCGTAGAAAAATCATTGCATTTGAAGGAGAGCAATTTCAACCTACCTTTCCACAACCATAGAGCCTTCCCTCGCAGACTCTGTGAACGAAAATCGAAGAACACAGAAAATGACGAACAGCTTGCCAGCAACCTTCCCGAACTTCACTCTCAGAGAGACCAGAGAAGTTTCTCAGGTTCTGACAAGTCTCGACTTACCGTATAGCTCGTCACGCAATCTTTGACCTCATCCTGAGAGACTGTCGAATGTCAAAAAAACGTAGTTCGTTTGTCGCGAGTATTTGGACCAAGGAATTGAAAATCCTGTTTTATTCTGGACTAGCCATCTATAAACCCCAGGTATACATGTTTATAAAATAGCAGAAATACTACGCGCGGTCTCATTGGTCGATAGGCGTGTTTAGATGATGATATTATATGTGAACACGACTGTGACGTTTTAAATCTTGGGTTTGCATAACTGAACACTCTTCCTGTTTAGATGAGGTTCAGAGTAAACATTGAAATAGTGCTCTATTGCTCAAATATAAATTGAAATGAATTTGGTACAAACTGCTGCCTCCCCATCGATCCCATATTGTTCTAATGTTCAATCCTCTGATTGGTCATGAAACAATAGAGTGGAATCCCGATTTTTCGAACCTCCAAGGGAAACGAAAATTATTGTGGTTCGAAAAATTGGACAGTTCGAGAAATCCGGGGTAAATTTACAGATGATACTGAGGAGGGGAAGCGACGTTTGGTCCAGGGGGGGAGGGTACTCCCTTATAT